ACCTCAGCACCAGAGAGCGTCTCCGCTGCTGAGAAAGAGCATGAGCCCGTGGCCCCAAAGGAACCTTCAAATCAAAACCCATCAACCACGGCACCAGAGAATGTGTCCCTTGCTGAGAAACAGCATGAACCCGGGGCCCCGAAGGAACCTTCCAGTCAAAAACCAGTAACCTCAGCACCAAAGAAAACCCGTCAAGGAAAGAAGACCCCGGAAAAAGGCACTGGTAAGAAAACACAGAGTGCCACGGGCTCCAAGAAAAAGCCTCAGAGCCCCCGAAAGGGTAAGAATCACTTTAAATGTAAGGAATGTGGAAAAACCTTCAACCAGACCCTCCACCTGGTGGAGCATGAGCGAATCCACACGGGAGAGAAACCACATAAGTGTGACGTGTGTGGGAAGTCCTTCAGACACAGCTGGTACTTTTTCACCCACCGCCGCATCCACACGGGGGAGAGGCCCTACAAGTGTAAGGAGTGCGGCAAGGCCTTCAACAGCAGCTCCACCCTCAGCAGCCACTTCAGGATCCACACCGGGGAGACGCCCTTCAAGTGCAATGAGTGTGGGAAGACCTTCAAGCAGAGCACGAAGCTCACTCGCCACCGCAGGATCCACACCGGGGAGAAGCCCTACAAGTGCGAGGAGTGTAAGAAGTGCTTTGGCCGCAGCTCGTCCCTGACCGAGCACAAGAGGATCCACACGGGAGAGAAGCCCTACTGCTGCCGCGAGTGTGGGAAGACCTTCAGGGTCAACTCACACCTCGTGGAGCACCGCCGGCTCCACCAAGCGGAGAAGCCGCACAAGTGTGAAGAGTGTGGAAAGCACTTCCGGAACCGTGCTCACCTGACAGAGCACAAGCAGATCCACGTGCCGGGAGCCCGCGAGGACTGTCCCGAGTGTGGGAAAGCCTTCCCCAGCAAGGCAGCCCTCCTCAAGCACCAGAAAAGCCACGGGGAGGACTCCTTGCACCGGTGCCAGGGCTGTGGAAAGGCCTTCCGGTGTAAGTCGAGCATCATACGGCACCAGCGGCTGCACGCGGGGCAGAAGCCGTTCGTGTGCACCGAGTGTGGGAAAGGCTTCACTGATAGGACCACCCTGAATAACCACCGCAGAATCCACGCCGCAGACAGGCCGGACCCCTGCGCACAGTGTGGGAGGTCCTTCAGGCACCTGGCCACCTTGACGCTCCACCTGAAAATGCATGCTAGGAAGGGAAAGTAAGGCCTCCTGGCCCAGAAAGAGCCCTTGTCCAGAACTACCCCAGAGCCACCAGCAAGGTCAGACCAGGGAGACTGTTCGAGTGGACACTGCCTGGTTTCCATCTGACTTTACTTCAGTGGTTCCCCACGGGCGGTTCCTCTTCCCACAACATTTGTGCAGTATCAGGAGATATTTCTGATTGTCCCTACTGGGAGGTGCTACTGGCAACTGGAACCTGTGGATAGGGGCCGAGTATACAGAAAAATAATCCTACAACATGACAGACAGGCTTCCTCACCTTCCAACGATAAAGAACACCCTGCCCATCTCAAGCAAAAGCCCTGTGGGTAACTGAGTGTGAGAGGGCATTCTGGTAGGTTCCTGTGCTGTCCAACACAATAACCACTAATGTACACACCTACATTTAGAGGAATCAACATGGAATAAATTCTAAATGCAATCTCTTCAATGCACTAACCACCCATCAGTGTCAGTGGTCAGTGGCTACTGCATGGACCTTGGAGATGAACAACATCCTCAGCATCGTGGGAGGTTCTCCTCAGCACTGATCAAGATCTCAGTTGTCAGAAATCTCACATGGGATGCTCCCGCGGAAGTAAGAAAATGGGTGACACTTAATTTGTGTTTTCCTTATAGTCAAATGTAGGGTTTTATAAATGGCTTTAGGAGAGTGTCTGGGGCCCATGAAGCTCTGGGCACTATTCAGATCTTGAGCTGGCTGGTTCTCCACCCATGGGACACCTCCCTGTGGCCAGGAAAGAATGGTCAGCAGATGGTTGACAGTGTTGATCATAAAGGCCAGCCTTTGGGGGGCCCATTCTGTCCAGCACAGTGCTGAGCTCTTTATCTCAATTGTCATAGCCAATTCCTACCTGCATCCTATGAAACAGGAACTATTATGGTCCCCGGTGTTTAAGAGAGGAAACCAAAGCTTTTGAGAGCTTTTGCTTTTTAAAAAAAATTATTCCAATTTTGTACATAAACCAAAGTTTTTGCTACTTTTATATTGTACTCTTTCAAATTGACACAGTTTGAATTTTTACTAAGTATGCCTTTTTAAAAAAAAAAAGTGAGCTGGGATGTAGCTCAGTGGTAGAGCACTCGTCTAGCATGTGCAAGGCCCTGTGTTTGATCTCCAGCACCACGGGGGGTGGGGGGAGGTATATGTGTTTGCATTCCTGTGTAGATGCCTCCCAGGGCAGAAAGCAGCTTGGATCTGGGCTGGCGGGACCTGACACAGTGAATACATCTGAGGGTGGACTGGGTGGGTGCAGCCCACACGGGCAGGTGTCCCGTGCACCGCCACACGCTCATCAGCAAATTGTGTGCAGTTTCTTCCCTGCTCGGGAAGGCAGCATCCAGCTGCTGGGACAGAGACCAGATGGCCCACATAGCAGGATATATGTACTCTTTGCTCCTCGATAGAAAGTCTTAGCTGACCACCTCCCGAAGGTCTGAAGTGAAACAGGGAGGATGTGGTTGACTGTGCAGCAGAGGCTGGAGTCTCATGCTGGTGACCATCAGTGTAGAAGGCACTGGGCACATACCCACTGCCCGCCTCCTAGATGAGTCTCTGTGTGCCTGTGGCCGTGCGTGTGTGCACCTTTGATGATGTGTCATGAAGACCACTTTGTTCTGCGTGACTGTGGCTGTGGGACACCTTTGATGACAAGGGTCATGACACCACTTTTTAAGTGCAGCACTGGTCCTTCTCACCTAATGATGTCAGTGGCAACCTTCTAGGTCAATTTCATTAGCCACTGTGGGGTGCTACCACAGCAGGAAAAGCCACTGTGGTGGCCAGGCAGCATGGGATGGCTTCGAGCTCTGCCACTTCTTCCTTTTTCAGGCCCTCAGAGTGGCTTGCTGGGGGACAGTGGAAAGTCCTGGGATGCGGAGCCTGTGGCTTTGCACCTGTTCCAGAGCAGCCTGTGGAGTGGGCAGCCAGAGTCCAGCGGTAATAGCCTTCTCCAGAACAGTTGCCTTCCACCCCTTCTTGACCCTCAGAGGGTGTGTGGAGAGGCGATGTGGAGGACCCCCAAGGACTTCGGTGAGAGCCATTTCTGGCTCTGTGTACATTTTCCAGGATCCTCTCGGTTGCAAATAATATTAACCCAATTCACAGTAGCTGAAGTGAAACCAACGCAACTAAAGGAAATCATGGACATGTGCACCTGGGGGCAGGTGCCTTGCTTGGAGGACCTTTGGCAGACCTGAGACCTGAGAACCATGCAGACAAGACTCCTTCCATCTCCCATTTCTGCAAGTCTTCTTCAGACCTTCTTTTGACGGAAACCTTCTCTAGAGCCGCAAGCTGCCTCAGTTCTCGACTTAAGAGGAAAGAGTTTCTTTCTCCCAGAATGAATCCTCAAGAGTATCCACGAGAGGCTGCAGAGACCTTGGGAGGCAGGGGGTCCTATTTGCCCTTTGTTGTCCTTGAGCCATTGCAATGAGCATGTATCACTTTTGTAACTTCGAGAGGAGGTGGGGTAAATTCGGGAGGGGTGGTAGGGAGTGACTGTTGCAAGACCCCCTGACAGGGACAATGCTTCAGGAATCTGGGGGTCAACCTGGAGGAAGGGGCTCCTGACTCTCACTCTCTAACAATAAATTGTGGCCAGCACATACACTGCCTACCCTGTCTCAGGCATGTCTTCATCCCTAGGGTGGAGTGGGAGGGTGGGCAGTTCCCTGGCTGCTCCCAGTTCCCTGTCCTCTGCTCCCTTCGTCCTGGAGCCTGGAAGATGCACTGAACAAGGCCTGCCCAGGGCCTGGGTCCAGGGATAGGCCTGTGGCTGGGGCTCTGAACAGCTGCCTGTGCTTGGGCCTAGGCACCAGTGAGGGAGAGGGATTCTGCTGCAGAATGGCCATAAAGGCCCAGTGGACTGTCATGCGCAGAGGCCAGCAAACTGGTAGAGGCCATATAGATGATCTCGGGCAGAGGGCGATGACCCTGAGCTAGGCTCAGGGATGGCCAAGAGGGTGAGGGATGTGCCACATGCCTCATCTGGGCCCAGGGACCACAAAGAGAATGAAAACTGGACAGTGAGAAGGGTGAGGGACAAACCTTCAGCAAGGTTCTTGGGCTGTCCCTCCCAAGGCCTCGCCCTCATCCCAGGGTCCGCCCCTCCATGGCCCTGCCCTCAGGCCCCTTCCAGGCAGGTTCTGGCTCTGCCCCTCCCGTGGCCCCGCCCTCAACCCAGGCTCCGCCTCTCCCATGGCCCCGCCCTCAGGCCCCTTCCAGGCGGGTTCTGGCTCTGCCCCTCCCGTGGCCCCGCCCTCAACCCAGGCTCCGCCTCTCCCATGACCCCGCCCTCAGGCCCCTTCCAGGCAGGTTCTGGCTCCACCCCTCCCCAGGCCGCGCCCTCAGGTTTCTTCCAGGCAAGGCTCTGGCTCCGCCCCATCTGTCAGGCTCCTGCCTCAGGTCCCTCCCAGGTCCCAGTCTCAGTTAGGACTCTGGCTCCGCCCCTCAAACAGGTCCCTCCCTTGCCCCGCCATCGACGGTGCTGGCATGTTGGCGTACTGCGCATGCGCCTCAGGGCCACGTAGTGGCGCTTAGGCTTGAGGAGCGTCGGGTGAGGTAAGCGAGGTAAGCGCGTGGCGTCCTGGGAGCTGGGCCTCAGGAACCAAAACCAAGGTGGGCAGAGGCTCCTGGGGCAACTTCACTGGTGTCCTGCGACGATATCGTGGCGTCAGCCATGGCAACATGGCCTCTTGGAGAGAAGGCGGTGCGGCCTTCCCCGCTTCGGCTGTGCCTTCTCCACCTCAGGGACACGTTTTTCCACCTCAGGGTCGCCTTCTCCCACTTCAGGGACGCCTTCCTCCGCCTCAGGGACATCTTCCTCTTCCTCAGTGACATCCCACTCCACGTCAGGGATACTCCACCCACCTCAGGGACATCCCGTTTCGCTTCAGGGACCCTTTCTTCCACTCAGGACCACTCCTCTCCATCTCAGAGCTTCCTCACGCCGCCTTAGGGCCATCTTCTTCCTCCTCAGTGACATCCCGCACCACCTCCAGCACAGCTTTTCCCACTTCAGGGACATCTTCCTCCTCCTCAGTTATAGCCCGCTCCATCTCAGGGACATCTTCCTCCTCCTCAGTGACATCCCACTCTACCTCAGGGACGCCTTCCCCCACCTCGGGGACATCTTCTTCTTCCTTAGTGACATCCCACTCTACCTCAGGGACGCCTTCCCCCACCTCAGGACCACCCTGCTCCCTCTCAGGGCTGCGCACTTCACCTCAGGGACACTTTCCTCCACCCCATGGACATCTTCCCCCTCGGGGCCACCTTCCTTCATCTCAGGGCTGCCCCACTCCACCTCAGGGACAGCTTCCTCCATCCCAAGGATGCTTTCCTCCCCCTCAGGGACACCTTCTTTCACCTCAGGGATGCCCTCCTCCACCTCAGGGCCATGCCACTCCGCCTCAGGGACACCTTTCTCCACCTCAGGGTTGCCCCACTCCGTCTCAGGAATATCTTCCTTTACCTCAGGGACACCCCACTCCACCTGAGGGACATCCTACTCCATTGCGGGAACATCTTCCTCCACATCAGGGCCGCCCTTCTCTATCTCAGAACCACCCCGCTCTACTTGGGGACATCTTTCTCCACCCCAGAGATGCCTTCTTCCACCTCAGGGACAGCCCACTCCCCCTCAGGGATGCCTTCCTTCACCTCAGCAACTCCTTCCCCTACCTCAGGGGCCACTCCTTCTCTGGTTACCCTTCCCCTTGCCCTTGCCCTGCCTCGCTCCACTGCACCCATCTTCCATCCACCCTGTCCCTCCCTACTCTGCTCTTCTAACATCTTGGTTATTTTGCCCATTTTATATAAACGGAACCAGATAATGTGGATTTTTGAGCCCTTTTCTTTCACTCAACAGCAAGGTATCCATATTGTCATTTCTGTTTAGAGTCCCAGCATATGAGTATATCTTTCTACTGTGGCTCCATCTCCTTGCCATCACTTAGTATTGTCAGACTTTTTCATTTTG